ATACAACGAAGATATTCTGAATCCCAGTTGCCACTATAAACATTGTGATATTAAATTGTAGAATTTAAACGAAAATTCAGAAAATTGATACATACAGGCGTATAAAAAATTGACAACGCTATATTTAAGAATATTTTAGCATAAATTTTGATAATTCGGAGTTAAATTTTGTATTACTTTTCAGTAGAACATCGTTTGTTCTACTGAAATTACGAAAGATACAATCAAATCTAGAATCTCGGTGAATGCATTTCAAATTACTGCGCTACCTTTAGAAAATTAAATCCGTATAAATTCTCCGCAAATTGAACAGTCTGTTTAAGTTGCAGGATGCTTGCTCGCAACTGCAAAAAATTGCAAATCCTTAATTCTCCACTGACTGGCGAAACACATAAATCTCTCGTTCAGGAGGGTGTTTCTCCAGCTAAAAAGACAAGAAAAAAAATGGTATAGGCGAGCTAAAGAAAGTAAGCTCGTGCGTGCCAACGATAATTTTATGCGCTGTCGCGATATAGGAGCTAAGAAAAGGCGGATGAAAAAGGCGAACGGACGAGCAATAAAATTCTCGGACGAATAAAAAAAAAGAATATACATACATGGGTTCATATTTACGGATGGTAGGATGTAAGACTTGCCGGACCAATGTTACGTGAAGCCAATGGTCCGGAAGAAAATATGCGCAGCACCTTCGTATAAAAAGTAATGGCCATAAGAATTATGCTGAAGGGGAAGAGCTTATGTTGCGCATTAAAGGGGAGGGGGGTTACTAAGAAGCGCTGGTATGAGTAAGCTTAATGAGTCTCCTGGCAACAACATGCGATACGTCTGACTGCAGAATATTAATTATACACGTCATACCAATATCACTTCAGATGGATTTATTAAATGGAATAAAGCTGGGATTACCATTGAATTAGCCATTATACTCGGAGTAACTGAGATAGCACGTTGTAATGTATTCCTCATCCGTTGCTCAAGGATATTAAATTTTACAAATTCAATATGCAGAGCTCTTTTAACAAAAAAAAATAATACCTCTGTTATCTTTTGTTTTTTATTAACATAGTTGATACTCATTGTGTGGCAAACCTTACTACACGAATGAAGCTTTATTATATCATAAAATTGGTACGAAATGCAGATTCAAATCACAAGATTTGTATAATCTAAAAGGTCAATAACCAAAATTCGACTGGGATTACACGCGAACGTTCGACGTTTAACGAAGCCGAGGGAGATTTCTGGAAAGGCTGTAGGTAAAACGGCAGTGGCGCGCGGCATAGCTTGTAAAGTTGAAAAAGAAATGGGAGGGAAGAAAGATCGAGGTAAAAGACGGCAGTGCACGAGTGGAGCGTGCGCGGGGTAAAAATTCATTTCCCCGGGAGAACTCCACGAGATATACGAGTGCTCGCGCGCGCGCGCGCAAACGGAATTATTCACGAAATGCCCCGGCGGAAACTCGTAGGCGATGTGCACACTGGCCGCAGTGTCGAAGTCGATGTCGATTTAACGCGGCTTTTCGTGTCTCCTCCCGCCCACTCCATCGTTGCCCTTTCGTTATTCGCTATCTCAGTGCGGAATTTTCGCTCGCCGATTTTCCTATCGCCATCGGCGTCAACTTCCACGCGGACCTTCTCCTTCTTTTCATCCAACTCGTTCGGGATAATTGGTTTTTCGAGATTTTCTTGTTTCTACTCGCGATGAAGCTCTCCCCTTGCGTACATTTGTAGCTGCATGCATTTTCCATTCTCGATGTCATTTGAGCTTTTGTTTGCCAAAGGAAAATAGTACTCGTTGAAATGAGATTGCGGACGCTTCATTTGATGGAATACATTCCCTGGACAAGCAATGTTACTTCCAAGAAAGAAACTCATTAGGGCTGTCTTTGAGTCAATACCCTTCTTTCCTCATTTTACGACTGCAGTCGTACATTTTATAGCAGAATATGGGTCGTGCGTGCACCAACCGAGGATAAAAATGTGCTTCTTGTTTTGTCGTTGGGAATTAGAAGTATATATTTAGTGATCATTACAGTACTGCAATAAAAGCAAGATGAACAATAAAAAATATCGTTTACGGTTTTTTAGCGTGGAAATGACACTTTTTTCAGCAGCGAGCAGTGTTTAATCTTTATTTTTCAATGACATACTGACTTTTTTATTTTATAAGAACTTTTGCAAATATTCACATCTGGGGAAACTTTTCTTTTCCAGCGTAAAGTTCGAAACGAACGAAATTTTCAAAATACTTTTATACATCGAAAACTGGAGCAAAGAAATGAAAATGTAGAATTCACATTTTTGAAGAGCAATTTACTTTTCTTAAAAGGAGCTTTTAGCAACGTCAAAATTATGCAAGCACATTTCGCAGTTGAGCACATTACTTTATATTTTCACTATTTCCTCCTTTAGTTTGCTTCAAACAAATAACTAAGGAAATTGACAGCTTTGAAATACGGAACATTCGTCTGCTTTTATACATCGCCAACACGTACTTGAAGAAAGGCAATTTTATCGGTCACATGTCGTAAAGCTGTTGTAAGCGCAAGCTATAGCCAATAGCACTCCCACTTTTACTCCCTTTGCCACTAAACAAATCTATAAAATTCAAGTATAAACCTTGGGAAACACAACTATAGCTTGAAACCATAGAGAATCGTATCGATCACAGCTTCTTATGAGCATCCGATGCTTAAAGCCAAGCAAAACTTAACAGTATCACAATAAAACCTCCGGGTAAGTGAAAGTACAAGCTTCACGATCGAATAAAAATCGGGCGCGCGTCGTTGAACCGACAAATTGTTTTTGGTCAACAGTTCCCATAACTTCGCGCCAGCCAAGAGCGCACACGAGGCGTCGATTGTGTATAAACGAACGCCAGAGGAAAGTCGCGCGGGGGCGAGAAAAGAGGGTCAGGCCAACAACAACAGCAGCAGTAGCGGCAGAGCGAAGCCAAGCATTATTTTCCTTATAGCCTGTTGCACTCTATAAGAATCGATTCTCTTCGCGGGTCGCCGCGGCGTCGACTTTCTTATCCGCTCGGCGCGCGCGACCTATTCATTATTCATCGCGCTCTCAGATTGGTATAGCGAAGCTAGGTGCACGGTTGCAGCTCTTCCCCTTCCAACTTTTTTAATATACCCCTTGCCTTGCGAACGTCTACGGATGAAACATTGCGCCACTCATTCGTTTATATTCGAGCGGATGAAAGTTTGTGTAAAAAGAGAGAGAGATAGCTTTCGTTGCTGTTTCGTACGCCCCAGTGATTCCGATGGAACTCGAGATATATATATATATATACATAGCACGAACTCGTTAGCGTCGCGGGGGTTCGGGTTTGGGTTATTCCAGCTACCGGCATTCGAGAGATCCTTTACTTTTAGTTATTTTGGAAACTTTCTCTTAATTATTAATTATTGAAGCAAGATGAATCCTTTTCCGCGATAGAACTGACTCGAGTTTTCAGAGTAAACTTGCATCTTAACAACGAGTCCAACACCATTACTTGCAAAAGCTCTTCCATCTCTCAGTGTAATGATACGCATTCATTCCTGCTGAATTTATCGTATATTTCAGCATTATTATAGTCTTACTTTCACGTGCGTGAGAAAGACTGGAAAGCTTTCTTGACAAATTTTTAATCGAATTCACGATATTAATCCTTTTCTTTGTTTCCTTGAAGAATAAGCCTTGACATCGTGATTTTGGATTGTCTATGCTTTTTCGTTGTAACTTTTTAGTTGAATGTCTTTACGTTAGCACATGGGAATGTACCTCATTTCTAAAATGTATGCATGAAAATTGGTCTACGCAATCGTTAAATTAATATGGTACTGGCTATGCAATTGCGTTGTTATGCGTGCTGCAAAAGAAATCTTATAGATTTCTTAAATTGGGAACAAAAACCGTTCATTTACATATATTTCAATGAAAAACTATGCAGTTAATTTTTGTTTATTTTTCATGATTATGTTTATACCATTGATTCAGCCTTTTTATTTATTGGTCGATAAGAAGATTGTTTTATTTATTGCTAAGCAAGAATATTAAGAACAAAGTCTAGGAAAATAAATCAAACTTTTCGCCAGATTTTTATATTGAAAAATGTTTGGGCATCAATCAGCTTGCATATGCATATCATTTGTGCTCTTCAACGAAACATTCTGCCAATATAATTTTGCAAGCATATTTGTACTTGATGAAGTTACATATCGACGAAATTCAACAACCAAAAATAATTTATTCAAGTTTTTGCTCATTCCCTCAATATCGAAAAAAACAGTTTAAATAGACTGATACCTGTTTGATAGAATCGAAAAATTTTTTTGAAAGTTATATAAAAAGGAAATCAAGCGGAAAGTCGGAATTTTTAAAAGGGAATGAATAACTTTTTTTACCAGAGAATAGTGGCAGCGATAGCAGCAAATGAACGATGAGATAGGGAATGATGAAGCCAATTAAAAGTCCAGAATCGGGGTTGACATTAAACTAGGTCAATTTACAAAGTTCGCAGAGTATTATACGAATGTAGTTTTATCCCGAGGATGGGTCACGGTTTTGGATGCTTAATGAGAACTCAACGGTCGTGTTGCAAGAACTTATTCGATAATTATTTGAAACAGATGTTTAATAATTATTAAGCGAGGCACTTTAAATGTCAAATGTTCCAGCAACTTTGAATCTCGATGTAACTAATTTGGAACATTTGAAACTCGACAGCGACCATATTCAGTTGAGTATTTTTGGCCTTATCGTCGATAATTAGTTTTTCATCGATCCTTGAATGTCTACTGAGTTCCAAATAAAAACCGTCGACGGAATCTCAACGAAATTTAACTTGATAATGCTGAGCACGGTAACGTCTATTCCAGGTTAAAATAAAAGCGCTGGAAGAGAGAAAGTGCCGCGGGTCCAGACGACCTTTTATCTATATAATTACCGAAGTAAGCAAAACGTAAAACTGCTAATTGTACGTAACATATTTTTTGTTCTTGATTTCAGAGGGAGCAGCAGGCGTCGGCACCCCCATGCACGCTGGTTCGCCCAACACGGAGCCTTTGAGTGAGTCAGTCGTGTGGTAGCTGCATGGCTTTGCAGCGCTGCGTCCTCCTCTGCCTTTCATTAGGCGCAGCGCGCACGAATTGCTCGCTGAATTTAATCGCTGATTAAAGTCCTTTGCCGCTCTACCAGGCCAAGTTTTAATCGCTTTTCGCTTGCGTCTCTCCACAAGCGAAATTCTCCCTCTCGGCCGCGATTTTACCTCGTTACACGCTTGTTCTTCTGGAGTCTCATTCGAGAGCCTGATTAATAGCTTGTCTTTGCCTGTCTTTCTTCAATCGCTGCGTAACGTTTCATTGGTCACGCGACCGATTGCCATTTATTACCATCCATTAACTTCTTTCTAAATGCGCGTCCTATCCCTCCGCTGCTGATTCTTTTTATTTACGCTGGGCGAATTATGCATATACCACAGTGTAAATGTCACTGTCGGAAAATAATCTGATCGCGTGACGGTGGAAAATACAAAGCTTTAAGCTTTCTAATTATAAACTTCGAGATTAATGTTTCGACGTTCAGGACTGATTTTAAATGAATTTACAATGAGGTTAAAGTAGTCACATTGCATTTTTACCTAAAATATACGAACATAAATACGCGCAGCCATATCGCGTCGCATTATTGATTGTGTTGCATATTGCACGACAAATATTTCAAAGTAAAATTCATAAAGTTCAACAGTTTGAATTGCTAAACTTCCAGCGCAGATCGAAGGATACGCCGAGAATAGAGAAATAGAGCGAGCCTGTGAAAATAATACACGAATATTCGCCGTATATGTACACGTTGACCTGACTGAATCAATGATTAAACGCACCTTGATTGAGTGACAAACTAGAAATAGAAGAAATGCGACCAATCGATTGCTTTGTCGCGCAATACGCTACCTAAACTTATTCGACTCGTCACTCAGCATTGATAGCCGCGAAAAACTCGCACGAGCGTAAAGACACATTTTCGTTTGCCATCCGGAATTTCCATTCGTTTCGTTCTCGTCCTCAGACAAATCTATTTCTGTTTCCACGAATCACTGTAATATCATTCGTTTCCGATATCGGTCGCTGCGGAGAGATACACGATACTCGCTCGTGGAATTACCAATTCAAAGCGACGCCGAAGAGAAATGTGATTAATGCACGCCACGAACGAACAAAAAAAAAAGTCAAAGGAATAAAGAGTAAGAGAAAGTTACAACCAGCGGAAAACGTAATAACGTGCAAAAAAGGCAGTTGGAAGTACTCTCGTTAATTTATAAGGTAATGCGGGTTTATCGGGGAAACTTCAAGAGCAAATTGTTGATTTAGCTCGCGGCAAAAGTTCGCCGTCGCTGCTGCTACCGTACTGCCAAACTGGATTTGGCTGGGAAAGTTGCGCGAATGGGGAATGTTGACGTTAGTTCGAAAGAGAAAAATAAGTAAAGTCCAAATAAGTGATGAGGGTAAGACGAGCTGGTGGTCGTTTTGCGTCCCGAAGTGACAGGTTCAAGAACTGAGAGACGAAGTACATTAATGTTAGAGTAGTTTCCACGTCATAACAATCCTTAGTTCACCGAGGAGTTGGCAATAGACGTGGTTTTACACGCATTAAAGAAACAATATGTAGCGCTATATTTTTTATTAATAACATAGGTAGAACATGACACGTTACGCTATTGCGACAATTGAGTTATGGTTGAAGAAGTTGGTGCTTAAAGTAATGTTTGGCCTAAAAACATGATGCGATAAAAGAAAATTGAATTAATAAAAAATAAAAACTAGTGATTCAAAAATTGAGCACTAAAAAATAAATGAACTAGGCTGAGTAAATCGACCCTATAAAATGTCGAGGTAGTTGCGCTAGTAAAAGTATCACGCCACCCTGCAGTCGTCGTAAAGCGACGACTCTCCGCAACAATGAAATTCATTGTTTGACATCCGAAGATAGGAAGGAGAAATGTAATTTGTGATTTGCATTCTCAGAGTGGAAGGAGGAGGATGGGTGCGCGTCGCTCCGGGTCAGGCGGCGGCCGAAGCAGCGCGAGCATCCTCAAGGAACGCGCCAATATGTCGTTCATGCTCGTCGTCATGTTTTTCGCGGTGTTCGGCTTAATTGTCCTCACCGAGATATTCCTGATAGACGAGAGGCGCGGCACAGCGGTCGGCGGTGGTGGTGCTCTCGGTGGTCATCGCAGCGGTCATCGACTTGCCGCTGCACCCGATCGACCTGATTATGAGGAGGTTGGCGTGAGTATATTGTTCATTTTCTCCCATTATTAGCGATTGTTATGGATATTCTGTTTGCTGTTAATATCACTCAGAGCGAACCGTCATTTATTAATGGATATTTAATCCTTAACACACACACACACACACACACACACACACACACACACACACACACACACACACACACACACACACATATATATATATACGAAATCATTGATAATACACTTCAGTAATATGTATTTCTTTGAAAGTGGTTTTAGATTTAGCGAAGCATAACCTTTCAAACGCACGGTATTCGTTAAAAATGTACAGTTCGTAAGAGGATTATTTCTTTGGTCTTTCTTTTAATTAAAGCTCATGAGTTCAAATCGGTTTACACTTAGGATTTGTTTTTCGTCAATCACTTGCACGTAAAATGAGTTCATAGAAAATTTTAATTGGGTAAAATGTATCGCTGAAAAATATTTAATAAATTACTGTATTCTTTTCGCCGTGAAATGATGAAAATAAATCTATTTTATTATTCATAATGCATTATCCAACAGAAATAAATATAATTTTTATCAAATTTTCGATCATGGAATTTTGTTTCAAAATTACTACTTCCTGTGAAAGTCTAACGTAACAAATGTCAAGAAAGTTTAGTTTATGTACATCACCTTATTCGAAAAGCACGTTTAAGTGAAATAATTAATATTTATTGCACAGCGTTATAAGTACACCAATTTCATTTAAATCATTCACAATAAAATTATAAAACGTCAATTCAGTATAATACGAAGTCAGAATAACAAGTACGCAAAAGAAATGATTAAAAAATGTGAAAAGTACGGTGAACGCAGAATATCACGTATTCAGGGAGCAGAAACTTATCTTGTTTGTAGAGAATTCGCGAATTTTTGAATGTTTGAATTTTTTAAGCAGGATAGATATGTAAAGAAGCTGATGCTGAATAGCAGTGACATGAATATAAAGTGAGATTTTTGAGAGATTTTTCTAAAAACGTTATTCTTTCCTTTTGACTCCAGTCGTGATCTTTGCATAGAACGGATTCAGTTTCTGCGATTTTCCGCGTTATTGTCATGCATGAGAAGGAAAAGGGAAGAACGGAAACAAAAAAACAAACGAAAGAACAAGAAACATCGAGAATCGATAGAAAAGTTGAGAAACTGTGAGGGAGGGCATCGGAATGCTAATAATGAGAAATAATCGTTTTTAGTTGTAGCGCGAGGAAAAAAGCTCTTTTTAAAATATCTCAATGGTCCTCAGTTGGAAAATAGCCATATTATAAAGAGGCAGGGCGCAGCTTATCGGGACTCCTAACTTTGATGTCATTCAAATGCATTCGCGTTCGAGACGTAGCCCCGCGGGGTCTCGTGCTTTAACCTACTTTTCAAATTCCTTTCACACGAGGAGGACTTTGCAAGAGGCTCATCACTCTCCAAAACTTTTCTTTGTTTGCCAAGCTTCGGCTCCGCTCTCTTCTTGTTGTTTTCCGAGATAGTATTCTTGGTAGTGTATAGTTTTCAAAAATTATTACCTGTAAAAAATCCGAAGCTGGACGTTTCGAACGTCGAAAAGCCAATTTGTGAAAAAGATGAAGCTACGCCATGCACAGGTCGGAATGGAGCAACTGTATTCGAGATGTTTTGCCTGCAAGATTTGTTGAAAAGCAGCAAGAAATAGAGACGTCTCCGCTGATATAGGGTTCTATTGGGTTAAGGCAATAAATACAAATGTGGCGTTTAGACGATAAATCATACTTTCCAATTCCCGTGAAAAGGCAGACTTTGAAAGCTCATACATTACAATGAGTTTTCCGAGATTTATGGATCGGCGTTCCATGTGTGTGTGTGTGTGTGTGTGTGTGTGTGTGTGTGTGTGTGTGTGTGTGTGTGTGTGTGTGTGTGCGTGTGTGTGTGTGTGTTCAGGAAAGGGACAAACGGCAATGTGCTTGGCGTTTACCTCGAAAACGCAGTGGTGGCAGATATGTACACGAAAGCGAGAACCCAGGGAGAGTGCGTGCACGATTATAACGACTACAAATAACGATAATAATGCTAGTAGCATGGGAAAGACCAAATGAAGCCAATTACACGTGTATACGCTCGATTTTTAGCTCGTCGCGCGAGAAAAAGGGCAGAGCCCTTGTTAATTTGCGCGGATTTCTCGATAGCAGCGCGTACCGCGGTTCTTCTTACCTCTGGAGCCGAGAGAAGCGTTTGAAGTATGCGATATCGGAGGCGCTGAGTGGCAGAAAGGGGATGCTGCTTGCACTGCACGAGGATTCTCGGTTAGGCAGCTCATTAGCACTTGGCTCGTCGAAAGATTATACGTCTACCTCGGTCCTTCGAATTAAATGATATCGCCGGAGAATCTGCATCCGATGTATTCCTTGAATCCTAATTAGTTCTTGCCAAGTATTAGCACGCAAGCGTGATTACCGCAGCCGCGCTTAGTTTGGTGCTAGCTATCTTCGATAATGAGAAATTATTTGTTTGGCGCGACCAAGCTCATTTGCAACGACAACAAAAAACACTAAGATTTTAGATTGCGACGTCGCAGCCGCACGAGTCTTTGATTATGTAGCCGTCAGAGTTGCAATTAGTCTAGGCCTTTGCTCACAGCCTACATACGATAACTCATGAAGCGCTGGCGATGACGAGCAATATGCCGACATAGACTCAGTCTTCTGTAAACACATCAGGCGCACGGTCTTTTGATCATCGAACTCGCGCTTGCTAATAAGCTGTGTCGTAACATTGTTTGATGACTATGGCCTTATATTTGCTAACGTTCACGTCGAAATGCAAGTTGATATTGTTGAGGTTATTTTAGTCGGATTGCTGCAAGTTAATTTCAATCGGTTGTTTAACAGAGCACGGGGAAAGAGGACGAACAATGATCCGCCGATGAACTTTTGTAAGTTTGTTTATTGTTAGAAAGTCGCTCGTGTACATTGTTATTTGTCTTACATCTTTAGTTAACTAATGGACTGTACAGCATCGCTTATTAATCGTACATCGTAAATCGTATTCCGATCGCTACTTTGCCTCGACAGCACCGTCACGACGTTTTTGCCGTCTTTCTTCTTGACTCGCCAAATAGTGTTGGAATTGGCCAAGAAGATCCACTCGCGATAAACGAAAATGAAAGTTGGATCAGAGACGCCGTGGACGAGTATGCTTCTCACATCATTGCCGTCGAAATTAGCATGATCGATGCGCGTCGTTTGATCACTAATACATATCCAATAAACGCGATTCTCCGAATAATCAATGGCCGTAGGTCTCGACAGATGTGCTATGGCATCTTGAAGCGTCGCAAAAGGTATGGAGCTGTTAGAAGTTGTAGACAGTCTGTATATGCTTTGCGTGTACAGGAGCGTCGCTATGTAAAAAATATAATGTTGGTTCGGATAAATGCACAAGCTGGAACGTCTTGAGTAGCCGTTTGTGAAGCTTCTTAGCTGTACGTGACGCGTGATAGTGTCATGTTTGACATCGAATACTTTTATGTAATGCTTAATGCCCTCGGTGTAATAATAAATCTGTTGATCTTCGTACTCCGAGGCGTACAAATTGCCCGACAACCAATCGTAAACCAAATCGGTGATAACGTTCTCGTTGTACTCCAGCAGCGTCGTTTGATTGCGATAGCCTTTCAAGTTGGTCTTGAAAATATTCTTACCGTCGCTAAAGTACAAGACATCGTGACGGTAATCGTAGTCGAATATTATGCTGCTCTTGAGCGATTCCACGCGATAAGGCGTTGGCAATATAACGTCGGTCAAGATTTTCCTGGTGACGTCTAGAGTTCTTCCGCGAACTGTGCTGTCGGTGGCGTACAAGATAAAATCACGGGTTTCCCGGCAAGTTCTTTTATCGGGATTCAGCTGCCAGCCAAGCTTGCAAGCGCAACTGCGACGTCCGCGGGGAACGAGCAGGCACAGTTGTTCGCATTCGCCTCCGCCGATGTTGCACGGATTGGCGGTCGACTGATTGGATTGCTTGTCCTTCTCGGCTATGACTTTGATTGACGTTGGATTTTCAAGGCTATTCAGCGGCTGCATTAGGTAATCCACGCAGATATCGTCGTCGGTACGGCAAAATACCAATTGATGTTTCGACATACGATGGTGATCTTGCCACAGCCAGTACAGCCGCTTGTTCCAAGCTGATATGTCGATAATGGTGGCGGTGTCGGTGTGGAAGTAGCGCAAGTTCTTTCCGTCGTAATCCGAACTTTCAATGCCCACCACGTCGTTAACCCAGTAAACTCTTTCTCCGCTGCAGTCTAGCGCGAGCGCGGATATGCCGCTCTTCTCCACGATTACATTCAGATTTTCACCGCTCATGTCAGCTCTTATGATCTGCGAAAATTAGTTGCCAGTAGTTATTTTCTTCTCGGCAATGTTTCTTTTCATTTTTTCCTTACCGAGTTCAAATTTTGCAAAATAAACATGACGCCCGCGGACGAATCGAGTAAAATTTTACTCGGTTGTATGAGGTCTGCCAAAAGGACATTGTACTCTCGCGTATTCACGTTAATCACAATCAACGTGCCCTTTGATTCGTCTACAATGTACAAATTTTCTCCGATACGATCGAACGCCAATGATTTAGGTCTGACCCTACTTTCCTCGAAAATAGTAGTATAATTGTATTTCGTTGTATTTCCGTGTCGATCCAACGACGATATAGTCGTGAGCGTGCTGCTGAACGTCGATAAAAAGATGTTTTTTCCGGCCAAGATTTCGAATGTGTCAATGCTGCTCGTCGCCTCGTGTAGTACATTTAGCGTCTCGTTTTTCGCGTCGTACTCCCAAAGATTATTATTATCATTCAAAATGACTCTTTCAGTGAAATTCAGCCACGATCTGGCATCGAGACCCTCCTCTCGGTGCGGATAATTTTCGTACGCTGATATTAGCCTGTATTCGCTTGCGTTACTGCTCGTCACCAATTCTGGCGGCATCGTCATATTGGAACTATTCGCCAATGCGTTTTTTAATGCTAAAGAGTCGCTATAATTGTAAACTGAAACATTTCAAAAGAGAATATACCAGAGTTTTATTTTTCGTAACTTATAGTTTGTAGACGAGATAAAAAAAAAATAAATAGGAATATGAAATTACCGACTTTGATATTTCAAGATAACTGATGTGATAACTATTAGAGTTAATAAACCTACGATAATCACAGTTGTCGCTAATAGTATGCAAGTCAAACGATCCATGAATTTCCTACAAGAGCTGGATCGAATGTACCTTCTTACTCTATATGTTTTCGGCTTGGCACTGCTTTCATTGATATCTTTCATTATTATTTCGTCGCCTGTAACGAGAATTTAACAGAAAAAAAAAACAAAAAAAAAACAGGAGAATCGAATTTTGTGCAATAATTATTTTTACGAACTTTATACTTGCCCCGTGTGCCCAAATGAAGTAAAATCGATTACATACCATTCGGAGTCAAGTTATTGTCACTAGTTGACAATAGCGAATTCATGTTAACAACACTGTGAACTTTCAAGTGTTCCAAGCTCAGAGTGCGAGCCTTTTTCACATATTAAGCCGAGATCAAGAGAGCAAATAAAATCTTCATGTATGGAGTCTCGATACCCACTCCAGACAATATCGCAATAAAAACTAACATATTTACCAGACGAAAAGCATCGCGTGTTGCAGTGTGTGATTGATCTGCTACTTTGTTTTAGTAATATCGTCGATAAGATGGCGCGCCTTTTTTTTTCGGAATCCCGCGCTATACTTATCGTATGAGCGTTAGGTAACAGATGCCGTATGCATATACCCTAATCGCACATGTCTTGATTCATAAAATTTATCTCGTATTTTTTTCTCGTCTGCGCGCCAAGCATTCGGCTGCTCTTGAACTCAAATTAACAGCAATACAGTCGCCTCGACTTAAAAATTATATTCTCCGCGCGCGATGTAACAAGTGTTCTCGCGGACTTTTTCGCCTATGCCGTTGATAAGCCTGTAAACGCAGACAAAATAGGGGGAGGGAAAACGACGCGCTAACAACACGTCTGAGTTGTGCGCATGTGTGCGTGACAGGCGGAAGACTACGCGGGAATGAAAAGTGGCGTCGAGGAGCATCTGGGCATGCTGGTGCGCGGTGACGAGTCAAGGATAGCCGTTGCAGCAGCAATGCCAGCGGATCCACGGGATTTGGCGAGCTTGCCGACGAGCCTGGAGTCACGGCTACCGCAGCTCGACCAGGCACTGAAACTCACGAACGCGGAGTGGCTACCTGTCACCAATACTAGGTAACGACCTTTAAGATTATTCCACCGATAAAGTGTCTCCTCCTCTTGGGCGTCTCGCTAAATTAACCAAGTTTAAGGCATGAACAGTCAGTTTGTCTTAAGGTTAAGAGCCTCCAAGTGGAGGAGGGTCGAGTTTGGCTAGACGCGCGCTAAAGATAGGAACTCGATCGATTTTCTCAGATAGAGAGAGCGACGTTGTCTTTGAAAACTTCCCTTGCACGCTTCGCTCTTTAAACACTTTGCCCGACTTTGACAGCAAGTACTGCATCCTCTTTTATTCCTTAGAGCTTTACTTGATTATTCGGGCTGTCGCCGAATGAACTTTCAGGAGAGAAGAGACGCCAACAGCTTCTCGCACTCTACTGATAAAAGCAACTTTTCGTATGGTTTCAGGTTTAAATTTTTTGTATATTCGGCTTACTACGACGAGAGAATTACGGGCAATAATCCGGCGAGCCGCAGCTCCAGCTCGGGGGGAGTCGTTCGTGTTATCGGCGCTACGAAAACCAGAGGACCCGACAGGGTTTGGTGCAGGCTGTGGTACCTCACACATAACTCGGATAATGCCACGACTTCGATAACAGTTGCGGCTAAAGTCAAGGTAAACGCCGCATGACCTCGTTTCCTCGCCCATATTGTTGTACTATTTGACAATAGCACGAGCTCGCGCTGAAAGCAATGTGGACATTTCAATTGAAAACGGAAGCGCTCCGTTCTGTGCCTGGTTCAAGATTTACGTTTCCGTGCTCTCGGCTTTTTTTTCTTTCTTCTTTTTCCCGTCACAGAGAGGAGTTGTTAAATCAACTTGCAGTTGCGAAATTTAAGCGCGACGTGGCCCATTAATTTCACTCGAAGTCTCTACTTGGGCGGGCGAAAGCACCCGCGTGCGCGTGAAATTTACGTTGACACGTCGCAAATAGGCGATTCAGGCACGCGGCACATCGTCATTTACTAAAATTGACGTGGACCGTAATTATGCAGGCGTTATTATAATAACTATCGCACGGCGTGGCTTGTTGATTTTAATGACGTGAAAATGATTGGTCGCGAGTGGAGAGCACAATGCATTACCGAAACATGACACGCAGGTGATCAGGGAGAATTGGAATCTGAAGTACAGCGCGTGCTTTGTGATCTGCCCGCTGCCGAAGGAGACGCCAGCGCAAGTTTCGGACCGGGTGCCACAATCGGTGAGCATAGTAGCGAGGCTACGCACACCGCCGACCAATCGGCTTCTCGTGCGCAATCGACCAGTCGACAGGCCCAAGGAACGGCGGCCTCTCGCCGTTTGCGTCAAGCCTTTGCACTACGATTACAATAGGGTGAGTTTCGTCTCTATTATCGCTTCGCCTATATATCTCTCCCGCGCCCAACTCTTATCGATAATGACTTGTATCCGCCTTGAGCAACTACTCTCGCCAAGGTTCATTGTTCTTGCGCCCAAGACTGTTTCTTGCTGCGCGCGCGTATGTAAGCGCTGCAGGAGAGAGAACGAGAAAGAGAGAGGCTTTGAGCGGACTTGAAGTACTTTACGTAATCTTAATGGCTTTAGATCCGAAGGCTCGCGCTTTATTCGCCGAGTACAATTGCAGCCCGTAACAGCTGAGTCGGGGGAGAGAAAAAAAATTTTAAGTAAACTATTGCTATACGACGTTAAACACCGTTTATGTTGTTTTCTAATTGAGGACGGCTCGTCATTGAAATTCAAATGGGTTTTCGTTTCTACAATCAGATATACGGCTTGTCGTATCGATCGTTGACGCATGATATTCATTCGATTCACTGATTTTCCAACAATACAATCTATTAACAATGCGATCTCCCGTCACAACACTGATTCCATTTTGCTTTCATTAATTCGACGGCATTCAGCGCGGTAAGCTTCATTCACGCAAGCTCATTAAAAAAGAAAAGGGAGGTGATGGTGGAATATAGTAAGTGACTTTACCAATTAATAAATGTAAATGCGCGCGAGCAAAATTGCATTGAGAAAGGGAGGGGTTGGTCAAAATTAAGCATGGCAGATAAATCCGCGGAGGCCCGTCGCCCAGGAATCTACATATAATAACTGCATGCCTGGGAGAAGGAGAAGGCGCGCGGAGCGAGTAACCGAAGCGAAGCCGAGGCGGCAATGTATGCGCATTTATAATGTACGTACGTGTGTGCATGTCGCAGGTGCTCCAACTAATCGAGTTCATCGAACTGCACAAGATCTTGGGCGCGAGTCACGTAACTCTGTACAACGACACGCTGGGTAGCGAGGCTGGCTGCGCTTTGAAGTATTACGAGGCGAGAGGCCTGGTGACGCTGCTACCTTGGCATCATTTGGATATGGTGTCGCAGCGTGAAATACGTACCGAAGGCCTCTTCGCCGCCCTCAACGACTGCCTGTATCGCTCCATGTACTCGTACGAGTATCTCGTCCTACTCGACCTCGACGAGTTCATCATTCCCAGACACGACGAGACTATACTCGATCTCATAAGGTGACGACGACTGAGCCCCTTTATCTCTTATATGCGCGTGCTCCCGGCCCCCTCCCCCTCCCAGCTTGCCCTCGCCTCGTTGCTTTCGTTGTTGCGCGCTCATTTTTATCTTTACCTCGCTTGCACTTCCCTCGTGCATGCTGCTCGAGGGAGGCGCGATGCTGCCTGCAATTCGCCTTGTTTTTCATTCACTCTAGCACGCTCGTCATTGCTTTATATTTATGTAATTCTACTAATTCTTTGCTTTTCCAACCAAATAACTTCGGCTGTACAAGCGCGCAACAACGTCATTTGATTGCGTCAAATAAGTTGCCGGCCCTCTTCACGCAGCTCATTACTTCTCGCAAGATGCGGCTCTCGAACCCATTGTTTCAGCTACTTACATTATATAATCTCACTGACTTTTTTTGAATATCGAATTTCACGAATCCAATATTTTTGGCTATCCGATATTTCGACGTGATGTTCGGTCGGCAGCACTATTGTTCTAGATAAGACAGGAGCTTTTATAAACGAAATTCGAGTCTAGCAAAAAACAATAAGAATAAAATCAAAAACTCTTTACAATTTTTCAGAGTAATTAGAGATGGATTTTCTTATTTCACATAGCTTTCGATTGATTCTCATTATTTATACTCACAGCTATCTCGTAAATAAAGTCAATGCTATATTTAATACTTAATTTAATTAATACAACTGGTATGCTCAGTGACAAAAGAAACGTTAACAAAAGATGGCAACAACTGAAAATAATTGATGATGCGCAGGTGGATGAACACGCGGGTCAACGGAAAAACGACGGGCGCCTATTCCTTTCAGAATGCCTTCTTCTACCTACAGTGGCCGGACGACCCGTACGTAACAACCTCCCGACGCGCCACGGAAGCCGGCCTCATAACTCTTCGCAAAACTCGCCGCCGCTCCAAGTTACATCCCCATAAGCAACGTTCCAAGTACGTCTGCAGACCGCGCGACGTCGTCGAGACGGGCAACCACTTTGTGTGGGAATTCGTACCGGGCCACGGCACCGTGAACGTACCTGCCGACGCGGCGATCCTCCACCACTACCGAGTTTGCGAATTCGGCGGCGACGATTGCGTGAAGACTGCCTCGGTCGTCGATCGAACTGCTTACAAATATCTCGACAAACTGGCCGAATCGGTGGAAAGTACGTGGCAGGAGCTCGTGAAAATCTGCCCAGGCATGCCCGAGCTGAAGCCGCCGCCACGCGAGGTGGCCAAGAACAGCGTCGAGAGGTAGCAGATAATCACGGGCGACGAGCTGCGCGTCGACGTAAAGCAGCCCATCGCTGGTGATTTTGGCTTCGTTTTGGCCAACTTCACCGGCAGGCCGATACTTGCTAGGACGTACTTTTACAATTATGCGTGAAAACATTTGTTACTGTTGACGTGGAATGACGATGGATGAGCGTGGATGAGATGTAGAGCGTAGTCTGTTTGATAAACAATTATGCCGATATGTGATCGACCTTTCGCTTTCTTTGAGACTTCTGGCTCTGCCATATTTGTTTTATTTCCAAATACTCGGTAAACGCGCTCGACGACATTGTTTCAGCGCACATCTCGGTTCGAGTTGTTGACAAAGTTCAGCACTGCATGCTTGAGAAGAGGACCTTGTCAGATTTTAAGTGGTGTATTTTTCTACGTATAAGCATTTTTACACGTTGTTGCTTGTTATTCAACTGCGCTACATTAAGTTTCAATTCAGTTACGCTTGATCAGTCAAAATTGACACTTTTATGCCCGATGCAACTGTGAATTATACAACAGAAAGGTTATCAAATATTTTCAAATACAGAGCACATTGAACTATTAAGAGAAATAAAACTATTTCGTATAACTACATTGTAGATGACTTTTGCACATAATAGAGAAGCAAATCAAAATTGTTTGCTATCTAACTCGTGTAAGGCATAACTGACGCACATGAAGGTAATGAGATAAAATGCACAAACTCACTCGACTATACCAATGCCAGAAATTCTGTGCAACAAACAAGATCATGACGTTCCATCCATCTACATAAGAATAAGACTTACTGCATTTTTATGTAAAAGTAACTTGTACGTTAAGAAACTTAAGCTCAATGTTCAGGCACATGAATGAAAATCTCTCTCAAATAATTGTAAAAGTGCTATACTCAACGTTTAAACGTTTAAATATTCTTGCTATCTTTAATTTTAAGCTCGTCAAGTTACTATGAAAGAAAATCAGATTAAAAAAGCTTGACAAGTGGATAGCACGATGTCAGAAATTAACTGTTTAAATATGTCTGATCGGACAAGTATTGAATTGGTATAATAGTTTCCCGATTTGAAATTTTACCAGTGGTTATTAACGATAATTTGAGTTTCTTTAACGATATTTTTCAAATGTCTTTACTAGACGATTTTGTTGTCAAAACCACGTAAATGAAAATTCATATTTTAAACTTATTCATATTGAAATCACGTCATTCTTTCAACGCATTCGTAGAAATAGTAGGTTCCGAAAAAGGCAATAAACTAACAGTTCACTAACCGCAATATAAACAAAATACAATTATAAACAGTTGTAAAATTCGATTAAAAGTGTCTACGAACGTGTGGATATTTTTTGTAAGAATCTAAATCAATCTCCGTCAACGAGTTGAGAAATATGACGGAGGATATGAAATTATACCTAAAATCTAAAGAAATATAAAAATGAATAAAATGGTGCACGCTCTGGTGCTTTCTTTCAAATTCTGAATGTGTGAGATGCGTTAAAGTATAAAGAAAATATTTCGTCAGATAATTTGGGTCTAATATTGTATGAGTAAATTTTCTGCAAATAGTATTTTTACCTCTGATCGGCAACTTGTTTGAATATATGCTATAATTTAAATAGTGCCATTCAATTAAGATTAGAAATATATTATCTGATGAAAAATTTTTCTAAAATCAAAAGACTTTGTAAAATATTAATCTCAACTATTAGGTATGTGAGAAAGAATTCTATAATATAAGCTTACTCCTCACAATGGCATTTATATGTACGTGTGTGTGTGTATGTGTGTGTATGTATGTACCATCGCGGCCTATAGTTATTTTGATCTAGTGTATAATTGAGAAAATCTTATTATTACAAAAATTGGAAAACTTATAATTAAATATGATTCATTTTTTTACAAATTATTAATTTATTTTCACGATGCTCTTTAAAATACAATAAAGAGTGACAGTCACGCATATCGATAGTTAGTAATTAATATAAATATCTGCATAAATATTTGTAATAAGTCATAGTGTATAGGATTATTAAGAAACAAAATGATCTCAAATTTTCACTCGTATAAAGCAATTTGCTAAAGATTTAAAAAAATCAATAAAATTAATTCAAATATGATTCTTATCACGTTTTAAATTATTTGATGAGTTATGATTAATAATTGATAAACAATTTGTATGAAATAATTTTTACCATTGTGATAATTTAACATTTGATTTAAATACATTTTCTAATTTTCTAGATAAACAATGATGGATATTAAAATTGTTCGATGCGAAAATTTATTCAAAATATAATTTACATATATAATGCCTATATATTGATACAGTTATTTAAATAAATTGAATACGAGTTATGCAAATTTATTCATATGCTATTTATTTTAATAATTTATTTTTATTGATATGAACGAGTGTTTTGAAACTGATGCTTGAATCAAAATTTTGAATAATGCAAATGTTTTTAGGAACGTACTTCTATTGTTTGTTACTAATTATTTGATAGAATGATCTTCTGTGTTTAAACGGCCATTGCGGTTAAAAATACCCTGTCAATTTTATAAAATCTGTGCGAACATTCATAAAATAATTTTTTTTAAATATGTACATATATTAAAAACTATAGGATACCTTATTTCAAAGTAATTATAATTGTCGATCAACTTCCATGAAATCAGTCAACAAACATTGTAATAAACGATTATAAAATCATATTTTTAATGTACTCAGACTGCTAATACAAGTCAACAACGATGTATGTTAATGGTGCTCTATTCTGCATATCCAAAGCACTTGTTAATTTGAAACTTGAAATGAAGTTCTGTGTAAAAAATATTGCAAAGAGTAGATGAATCATGGCTATTTAACTAAAATTTATTTTAAATTACTTTAGAAAGAGGCTTTGATTTTTTGAACAATATATTGCATCTTTTACGAATGTGTTCAACTCTAAAAAGTTTATATGAATTATGAAGAAAAGAACGTTTAAGACAATTGATTACCATTTTATTGCTACATACTAAATAAATAAAAAAAATCGATTCATCATGATATTTTATTTATTTTATCAATCAAGAAGTATAAAGACTACATATTATTAAATAGCTGAGTAATTCCATGTCTTAGAAGACGACGCCATCTAAATGCCGTAAAATTTTATCATTGCTTTCATTATATATTAGATCATATTATATAATTTTAGTAATATTTACTACTAGACGTATTAATCAACCATCTTTTAATAATTCATGATAAAAATTACTGTATTATACACGATAATAAGGCAATACGAAAGAAAGTTATATGAAAGTAATTACGTCTACTTTCATGACAAAAAAAATTTGTTTCAAAATTAATATTTGGATTTTCTTAAATTTATTCGAACAATATCATCCAAAGTATTTCAAAATCATGAAAATTTTCAAAAGTAACGTCGACAAAATTATTTATAATAATTAAATAATTGTCGATACTAACAGTTGACATATTATATGTTTTTACATTCTTTTGCTTATGTTCTTTCTGATAGCTTGAAGAAATTTAAAGTCATCTGAAGAAGGAGTACCAGAACAAAATAATTTTTCTCCCTACACCTTTTCACTTGATTAAAAGCGAGAGGACTGGCGTATCTGTATAAAAATCACCAGGTTATTTTTATTAATAGTCTTCTTGCAAGATACAACTATCTTGCATAATCGAAGTGGAACAGTTCTATAAGTATGTTGTCATTGGATGAATTGAATTTTTTTTAATATTTAGCTATTATGAAAATTATACGAAAAGCTATTTCTAAAGATATTAATGGAAATCATCCTATATTAAATTTAGTTTCTAGCTACCCCTTTGGTTAATTATTTTAAGCCTTCTATCAACATTGACTATTTGGTCTTCAACTGATAACTCATTAAGAAGAAGTTCTGTATAAGCTGGATTTCTATTTTTATTCGTTGAAAAATTTAAACTCTGATTGAATTTTTTTTAGTGTCTTCACCTTACTTTATAAGCATACAAAGTGATCTTCAGATCGTAATTTCAAATATTCCATATACACATTATTTTCACCAAGAATCGTTGGAAGGCTTCCTTTTTTAATAAAAGAAGTCTTGCAAACGTTACTAAAATGTTTTACTGAAACCTATCTGAACTAAATTGTGAAATTTGCAGAGAATCAAAAAATCAAGAAAAAAACACCTATTTGTCAGACATTTTATGGTTTATTTTTTAATCTGTTGCTTTTTCACTACTAAATTTTTTTAACCTTAACTTTTGTAGGAATTCCTTTATCAATGTAAATATGAACCTCTTTACAAAAGGTTTATTGCATTCGGAACACATTTGAAACATTTACCTTTAAACGAACGCACACGATTATAATTAAGAATAGAAATATATAAATGAAAACCTCCCAATTAATTTATAATCTTAAGTTACTGAAAGTTTATCCAGATCTAGCATAAGAGATATGGGATCTGATTGCTTCCTTTCTCGGGAAATCTGTCAGAACCAATGAGAAAAAGAGAAAGAAAAGAGACGAATAGACTGAAACTACAAGAATGATAGGCTATAAGAAATACAGTATCCGAAGAGGAATCCTCAGGGACCAGAACGGAACCCACCAAAGTCATACTGTAAAAGAGTGCCGGTGGGTGTAGAGACATCGCAAGAAAGATTTCGAGTTACGACTTTACACCCGTACATCCGTAAAATGAAAGGGTTTTGAGTCTGTAGGGCACGTAGGGGAATCTGATATACAGCGCAGCAGTAAGATCGAGACCGTTTCGATCTCAACATCAATGCATCCTACGCTCTATAAATGTTTTTTTACTCCTTACCCTTAATATAAAAAAACACGCACAAGCATTTTATGCAAGAACAGACAGAATTTTGTATAATTACTGAATTTATAAACACACATGCTCTCGTTTAGAAGCTGCAGTGCGACTGTTCTTGAAAATAAGCCTCAATTCGATCTATTTGACAATGTATATGTACAATCTATATACTACAGAAATTTCAACAAATGCTGTGGAAAGGGTAAAAACTAGTCCATGAATGATAAGCCGAATTTTTTTGATATAGAATGTATATATATTCACATACTACATAAAATGGAATAAATAAAATTAGAAAAAGAGCGACGAAAATAAAATCTGAGGATGCATCTTATTAATTTTGTGGCAACGTTGCGAAACCGTTTATTATTTTTTCTCTTTATCTCATCCCATGTGAAGGTAAATTCCCTTGCACTAAAAAATATCTAACAAATATCTGGTAATTAAATGAAAAATATGCTATTAATCAGTATTTGGCCCTATATTCAAAAAGTACGTTTTGTAATGAATACCAAAAAACCAAAAATTCGGTTTTATATTATGTAATAATTTATGTTCAATTTAATAATTAGTAAAAGTTTGAAAAGAAGTTTTTATTAATACAGTACTTTCTCCTCTTTTAGGTCTTTTCAGGGCCAACACCGTTTGTACGAATTATGAACGTCACGACATTTAATGACGAGTTACATTCACGATTCTATGTCTATAGTACGTCATAGCAACCAGTAAATGTTAGCTTAGTCACACCCGCATAGCATTTGAGTGTATTTATTGATCTACGAAAATTGTGGAAAGGTCAGGTTAACAAGAATAACGTTCATAAAAATAATCAATTCTAATTTTGAGCCTAAACGTCTACGTGTTTTTATTTTATGAATAAGTATGTTTTTAACAATAATTGTGCTAATTTAGACTTGTAGTTACAGTTTTTAAATATATAAAATGATTAAATGCCTGCATAGAAGACTTTAAATTGTAACACGTTTACAAAGAGGATATCAGAAAGTGTTTTTAACGACATAAATAAGATGAGTATTTATATATGAATAGATTAGTCACAAAAATTCATCTTTTCATAAAAATCGATTTTGGTTATTGTTTATAAATCGAAAGAGGGTATAGCATGATGAAAAACGAATATGGACTGGTCATCATCTTTAGCCATGTAAAATAAAAGTTTATACTATGTAATAGATCAATAAAATAAGCTGAGTTAATAGATTTACACTTACGGAACCAAAAGTTTCTAGTGAGAGAGATATGATATCTCCAGCTGTGATCTGCACTGGACGCTGAGCTCTTAAAATTACTAACAATAAGACTATAGATTTACCGTGTGAACGATGCCACATCCACGAGGTTGAAACAGCGAAAGCAGCATATCCAACTTCCTTACTTTAAGTTTATGTTAGAAATATAGATAAGACAAAGTAATATGATCAGATATCATCGACTTTTAAACGTATATTTCGTTGAAGAGATAATCCGGAGATCACTGGGTCGTGAATAACCGGCACACGCTTCCAAAGAAAATTGACAAATATTTGGGCAATCACGATCTGACTATGATTAATTTATATCTATAAAAACTTCTTGAATTAGGTTATTCGATTATTAGCTATTCAACTCACGCTAGCCAATTTTAAGACACATTATAGCCTATTAAAGACACATTATTGCAGATTGTAACTATTTGTACCAAAAATATTGTTTAGGACATTTTATCAAGTTAGATAGAAAGCCTTAAAAGTATAATTAATCATTTGACTATTAATCAAGAAAACAACGAACGAAACTTTTGAGACCACCAAAATAACCAAAGACGATCATTACGAAGCCTCCGAGGGCGGTACCACATAAGTAAAAATATACTACGGAAGTTTGGACCGCAAGCAACAGAATTGCGAAGATACTCCAATAGCCTAGCCACATATCTTCTGTATTTTTGGTGTACCACCTTTTTTCCATAGCACATGTACCGAGGCCCCATATAGCTAATAATTAAACTTGAACTCAAGAACGAATTCAAGTATATGATTTGGATGGCCGAGCTGTATTATTATTCGAAAGAAAAACGACGCTGCTAGAATATGCTAGAATATAAAAATTTAACATTATAAGTACATACAATTTCTCATGAACATTAATGGTATTAAAACTACATTAAATGATATGCTGTCAGTATGTCAATTTCTTTAGAGAGAGAGAGAGAGAGAGAGAGAGAGAGAGAGAGAGAGAGAGAGAGAGATATCAATTTAATTGTAATATATAGACTAGTTTAATAAATTGTTATTTAGAAAGCATGCTTGGTCATTTCTAGCAAATAATACAAGTATCTGCATAAAAATTGCATCAAGATTATTTGATTAATTTTTTTATTGAATCTCTTTTAGTTACTGTTTTTTTGTTACACTATATTTTTGTTACACTTAGAGATAATAACTAAAATTCCATTTCTATTTCGAGTACAAGATTTGTGTGTGTGTATGTGTGTGCGCGCGCGCGAGTGTGTGTGTGTTTGTAAACAGATATAGATATAATATCTGGAATATATATCTTATAATAACTTATAACGTCGAAGAAATCATTCAATTCCAGCGTTATTGCTGCAAAAGCTCCTAACTGCACGGTTAATGTAGTCTCAGATGCTTGCAGGGGCTAAACCTACAATTACACTCCATTCTATTACATTGAAGTCACGTACACGGATTAAGTTTTAACTAGTCCTAAGGCTAATATAAATCCCATCACTTACAGAACTAATATAATAGCATGAAATTATAGCATGGGCTCTTCGTTTGCGAACATAAGAACAGAAAAGAAGATTCAAAATTATTGGAATAAAAGCGATTAAACAGATTATTTATAAATGAAAATACAAAACTTCAGTTTCATGTATATGCATTGATTCGATTTATTATTGAACAACACACACACATACACACGCGCGCGCGCGCACTCACACACACACACACACACACACACATATTTAAAAAAATTAATTTTTGTAATTTTTGTTCACTTAAATATCGAAAAATCATAAAAAGTAAGACAAATAGATAGTTTAGTTATGTATATTTTAATTATTTTAATAATATTCACAGTAATTTACAGTCATGCAACATTTATACTGACATAGCATAGCACTTAACAGCATTAGTTGCCCTTGGGGAAAGTTTTGGCTCAACTAAGCTTACCGTATCTGCCCTTTTGGTTGGAAGTATAACAGCTCGCTTAATTATCGAGCGTGCTCTCGTTCTCATTCATTTGGCCGTTCATACGCACGCGTTAGCGGTGTGTGCCCGCCGAATTATTAATTATGACTTGGAATACCAGCATGTATTGGACTGTCCCTCCTGTGCTTACACGCGTTTGTGCCGATCATTAATCTAGTAGAGAGTCAATGACAAGAAACATCTTCTGTTAGAGATACTTATACTCTGATAACTTTTAGTTTAGATAAAGTAGCAATGCAAATTCTTCATGGAGTAGGAGAGAATCAATAATTTGAACATACACTGAATTGCAGGCAATGAAATGTTAAGTGCATTTTTTTTAAATAAAACAAAAACAGCGTTGAACAATGTTATAGTAATGAACGAAATCATGAAAATATTGCGATCATCGAAATATTATTAGTTGAAATGGCGACAAATCAACGGTGATCTTCGCTATTCTGATTGGTCAATTTTAACCAACCAATCACCTGACTTCCATGGCATATGAGACAATTTCTATGACTTTTTGTTGATCACATACCTTCATTTCACTAGCGTGGATACGGTTTCATAAAGTCGTGCTTTTTGACTTGTAATTAAGAAAAATTCTAATAGTTAATTATTATTCATTAATCGTATGGAATAATAATTAAATACGGAAATACTGTTAATTTCTTTTACTTTTTGAACAAAATTTATAACTATATCCTAGGAAACTAGAGATAAGTGAAAACAATATTCAGTTCGGTTTATGAGTTATTTATCAAGTAACTCAAAATCACCAACTATTACTTTCCTCTTTAAGGTTTGCTTGGACAGATTATCGTTCATTTACATCATTTTAAACTTGCTGGATCTATCATTCAGAGGACAAATTGACAAATTACTTGGAACTAATCTTTAATTTTTATTATGACGATTATGAATAATAAATTACTTTTTATAACTAAATAGTACAATATATTTTTTCAAATAAAATGTAATTTTATAGTTTTTAATTACATAATATGGAAAAATATTTATTATAGTTAAGGAAATATCGTAAATATTTATTTGTTTATCTTCAATCTGAAAGACCTTGTTCTCTAAAATCGATAAGGCGATTCTTTAATTGTCTTATTCCTGAACATTTATTAATTAACCTACTATTGTATGTTAATTTAAGCGTTTTATTCGATAAAACGTCTAACACAAATGATTTTTATTTTCAATATATATTTATAGGGATCAATAAATTTGTAGTGACTAATAAATACATTCATCGAACATTATTTTGATGACATCAACAATTTTTAAATATCTTTAAAGAAGCGGCGTGCATCAAAGATTATATGTACAATGCATTTTTTTGATTGAGAACAATAAAAGATCGAATGAAAATAAAGAAGAAATGACTTTACTGTTGTTAAATCAACTAAGTAACATCATTGATTAATTTGATATCGTCAATTATAGGTCCGTTAATATTATTTGTTGGTATCGACATTACTTTTATACATCCTTTTCCAGTTTTCTTATATACTCGCCAAACAGTTGTATTGTCAACTAAATATATCCACTGACGGTAAATAAAAATGCGATCCACCAGCGGAAGGTTTTCTAAGATTATTTGATGTACATCCAAACCATCCAAGTTAGATTGTTTGATAATCAGTGAAGAATAATTTTTTTCAATCCAGTACAATCGATTTTCTTGGTAATCAATAGTTAAAGGTTTTCGTAAATTTATATCTACAGAGGTAGTATTAAGTGATATTGATGAAATAGTAGCATTTAAAGATATTCTTTCAACGTGTTTACGATGACCGATCATGCTATCATTTGTTCCAATATAAAACATGTATTTTCGCTGTGGATGAATAATCATTCCAGCTTTAATAACAGCTTTACAATCGAAATATCTTACATTTTCAAAACCGTCAAATTTGTATTTTTTGATATAATATCGCATATATCCTGAAGTGGAATATTTTTCATATCTAAAGTAGTACAATTTTTCAGCCAACCAATCAAATGCTAAATTGATTATAACGGTTCCATGATATAAATTGAAATCCGTAAGATCAAATAGCAACTTTTGAGGCTTGTATTGTTTAAGGTTAATTCTATAAACATATCTATCTTCAGCAAAATAGAAATTATCATTACGCTGGTCATAGTCGAATGATGTTATGTACTTTGATGAATTTGTGCGGTAGGTCGTAGGTAAAATTACATCAGTAAACGTTTTTTTTGTTCCATCCAAAATGTGTCCTCGAATTAAATTTTCGGTCACATACAAAATGAAATCGCGACTTTCTCGGCAGGTTCTTTCATCAGGATTAAGCTGCCAGCCGAGCTTGCAAGCACAACTGTAAGTTCCTAGAGAGCTAATTAAACATATATCTTGGCATTTACCTTTATTTATTTTACAAGGATTCAAAACTGACGTAGTTTTTTCATGTTTCTGATTCGTAAAACTTTTGATAGACACAGGAGTACGTAGATCTTTGAGTGGATACATCACGCGATCATGGCATGAGTTTGCATTAATCTTACAAGATAAAAGTTGGTGTACCGAAGAATTATGATGATCTTGCCATAGCCAAAATAATTGGTTATTTAAAATCGATAGATCAACTATCGTTGACGTAATAGTAGCTATGGTAAATTGATTTTTACCGCTATAATCAGAACTTTTGATTCCAACAAAATCGTCAACCCAGTAAAGTCGTTTCAGTTTGTAATCCATAGTAAATGCACTAATGCCATTTCCTTCAATAATACTAATTATATTTTCTCCATTCATATTTCCTTTCAATACCTATGCAAAAATAGAACAATTGCTTTCACAGAAACGGTCATTTTTGTATTACTGTGCTTAATTAATAGTTAAGTAATTAATATTTTTTACCGAATGTGATATTTGTAAAATGAACATAACTCCTTCTTGTGGATCGACAGAAACACTAACCGGTTGCAGAAGATCATTCAAAAGAATATTATACTGCTTTGTATGTACGTCAGCCACAATCAAACAACCTATTGATTCATCTACGATATACAAAATTTCTCCCATGTAGTCAAATGCTATTCCTCGTGGTTTGATTCTGGCTTCTTCAAAAATGATATTGAAGTCAGTACTTTTTGAATTCAAATTTTCGTATGGAAAAGAAATTATTATAGGTTTTTCGTCAAAGATAGTTAAGAAAGTTTCTCCGCTTCTATCAATTTCGAACGAATTAATTACAGCTGTGGCTTCATATGCAAGGTTCAAAGATCGAGCTTCTATATTATAAACCCAAAGTTTATTTTCATCATTTATTATTATTTGCTGAGAGAAGTTTTCGGTTCTATTCAAAATTGTACTTTTTGAAAATTCATGAGATGCTAAAAAAAAAAAATTATAAAGAATTAATACGCTTCGAAGTTTAATAGTAAAAGAATAAAATTTTTCAAATTCAGATATATTATAATTAAGTAGTTATAATTAATATTTATGAAAATAATAAATATTATGGAATTAAGACAAAAAATATTTTTTATTACATCAAATGAAATAATCTTGTGATACCTTACCTGAAAATTTTGAGATATTGATTATTGTTACAATTATTACTACTATCAAAAGAATGACGTTGCAGCTAGTTAATAAGCAGAATTTAGAAAATCTGTTGTAAAACTTATCTGATGCATATGCTTTAACTGTGTATCTTTTGATATTATCATTATTTGTAGAATCATCCTTTATTTTTAAATGTCCATCTAAAACTAAATTAGTACATAAAATGATAATATAAAAATTTATACCTATTGATCAAATATTTTAATCTTTCATTATTCATTGTCATATTTGATATAGCAGGCTGACAATTCACTATCAAAAATTTTCATTAAAAATTATTTATACCCTAAATTTTCAAACCGCTTAAATTTTTTATAAAATATTTTCATTGAATGAGAAACGTTCTTCGAAACTATATTAATCTATGTTATCATGCAATTTCAGAATTGTTACAACTTTTTATAGACTATGATACTTTTACCAATTCGTAAATGCACGAATACGTACAAGTAGCTTTTGTATTATTAATATTATCCAGGCTCATTTTTATCGGCAAATTATCTAAAACACACAGAGAAACTTTTCACGAAAACATGTTAGTAGTGGTCATATTGTCACTCGAGGAACTAAAAACTGACGAAAAGTATAAAATATATTGCAGACTGATAAAGCGTTCTCCTATGCAATCAGCACTAGATAACTACTAACGATAGCAAGTGTGACATTTTATTTAATAAATTCGTAATATGATTTGACAAGAGTTTATTCATATTTATTTCAACGGAATTTTATGTTTACAAGTAACCGTAAGGAAACACTGAAAAGAATAACAAATTAACTTAACAAAGACTATAACATGATGAATTATATTACACAACCACATAAATTTGAAAATTTAGAATATTGCCGGTAACACATTCAACTGTTAATATGTTAGAACAAATTTATAATATCTTTATATATGAGCATATTTTATTATATTATTAATACATAAATTTTGTAGATGTATAATTCAGAAAATCGAGGATAATTATTTTAATGTTTTCTTTTCAAGTAATTAATGTGTACATATTATATCACTATATATGAAAGCTTCATTTGCTTTGCTTTAAGAATTATGCCAAATGTAATGGTATATCATTATATGAAACAAGGACACAGTGTATAACTTTGCTCTATAATAAATTTCGACGATTTAATTTGTTATATATTTCAACATTTTTTCATACACGATTTACGAGTCAGTGCGGAAGTAGGCGGCGACGGGTTGATAACGACATCTACTTCGGTAAGATAAATCCAGCACAAATGAACTTAATTATCATTTGAAATGATTTATAATAGAAAAGCTGGATATTAATCTATACCAATATTTAAATTTTATTTATTTAATATAATGCTTTTTTATTCAACACAAAAAATAAAATGATATTGTCTTAAACAATGAAATATTATGATATTATATCTTACTACAAAAAAATAACAAAAAATTAGTCGGCAGAAAATATTCTACATGAAGTAATCGTGTAATTGATTATTTTTTAATAAATGGGCAAAATATTGAACATATAATTCTTTTCAATATTTATTTATATAGAATTTACTTCCAACAAATTATTTTTCAATCGAATTTTTTGTAGAAACTTATTACACGTTTAATAGTATATTTTCTTTCTTAATAAATGTTATTATATTTTTACATTTTCTGTTCAATTAAAAACTAGTATGTTGAATAAAAAAAATAGTTAAAAAGTCGCTTTAAATCAAATTATACAGAATCAACATCTGTATGAAACCATCTCGGCCTATATATGAATATGCGAATAACTATAAATAACTTTCTAATGAATATACCGGTAAATTAAAAATTTTGCTAATCAAGCAGAGGGTCTATCTAAAATAAATAACACTAACAAATTCTATTTTCATAAATAATAGTTGTTTCTTGGGAAACTGATCAATAAATATTTTATAAAAGTGCAAATAATTATTTTTGGAGCTTTCTGTGCAGCAGATTCATAAAAATCATAGAAAAAATAATAAATATAACAATTTTATTCAGTTATAAGTTTTATTATGATGCACATGGTGACACGTTAATATTTTTATTTTTGTCATAAAACAAATAAGAGTTAGAACTCATTGTAAAGTCTTGAATATTTTGTAAGAACTTTGCTTATTCAACAATGTTACGAGATAATTAATATTCTAAACATGAAAACTTATTAATTGTACTTTAAAAATAACAAAACGAATTTTTAAAATAATTTGACATGTAATATTTAAGGCATTTTGTATAACTTTTATTCACTCCACGATGTACATATTGCTGTGAAAACAAAAATTTAATCCAAGTATAAAATAAATTCTAGTAACTAGTTCGCAAATATTTGATACCTTATAAATAAATATACCTAAACTTATGTTTAGAATTCAAACAGTTACGTAAGCAAAATTAAACTTTCATTTTGCCAATCCCCATTTGAGAAAAGTACAAAACACACCTCAAGCATTTAATATATACATATATACATACATACATGCGCGCGCACATACCACACAAACATACACACGCACACACACACACACACACGCGCGCGCGCACACACACATATTTGTTCATAAAATAATAAATTAGCTTGTGAAAATACCTTACCTCCATAACTAATTCAGAAGAATATCTGTATGATTGATTTTGACAATAAATCTACCGTAATCGGTTATGACTTTTATAATATTTTGTGGAGCTCATGCCATATTATTTAATTCATAATTGTTTAACAAAATAAATCTAATTAAAACTTCTTTAACTAATTTTATCTAAAAAAATTGATTACTAAAGTTAAAGTAAAATATCTGTTTGATGCTCTATTGATAGAAATAAATGAGAAACGTTTAATGAACTGTAAAACAGGTACGCATGATAGGCCATTCATTTAAAACTCATCATCAGCGTGATTTGCTTTACTAACAGACCGTTTTTCTTCATTTTGTTTTGCATTGAAATTGTTAACTTCATCAGTTGTTGAATTTAACAAATCGTCATCATCGTCATCATCGTACGAATGATCAATCAACAAATCATCATCTGAATCGTCTTCCGAATCACCCATGCTCCCATTTGCTGCACCAACATTTCCATTTGCTACACGACGGCGTCCGGACATACTACCGTACAATCTTCGTTGTGTTAAATTGACTCTCGCTGACTTGCGGGTATCTGAAGAGTTAATATTACATTTTGAAATGTGCAGAATAATTATACGGTTATTTAATAATATTTAAAATGAGCTAATTTTATCGACTATAATATATGTTTATAATATAATATACCTTGCGCGATACTTTCCGTTGACTTTTTATCTTTTTCTCCTAGTGTTAATGGATTCTGAAGATTTGTATTGAAAATAGAATCACTACCTTCTATTATACTATCAAAGTTTGCATCGTCCATGCGCATTGACTCTAACTGCTTTCTTGTAGCAGCTTGTCTATAAGGCAAAAAGAAATTAATAATTATAGAAACTTGTTTGCCACATCTTACTTATTATAAAATCGATATACCTTCGCTCAAATCTTTCTTGCTCGCCCTTAGCTGCCTCTTCATACAGATGTTCTAAATAAGCTAAGTAACGAAACTTTTGAAGATAATCCTCGTAAAGAGTTTTTAGTTCAACTTCTAGTTTTTCAAACTCATCTTGAAATTGCGGTCGAACTTTCCGTAATGTTTGAAGTCTCATTTGATTTCTTTGTATGTCAGCTTTTTTCTTTTCGATTTTATTTTCGAATTCTGTCTGGCTGTTCTGTAATATTCAATATACAAATAACAAAAATTTGAATAAAAACTAACGAAATAGTAAAACCGTTTGAAGAATTTCACAAATAAAATCCTTAATTTTAAATACCTTTACTGTTTCAATTTCATTTTTCGTTTTCTCTATTTCATCTTTTGTGTGGCGGATAACATTTTTCAGTGCATCTTCAACTTCTTTAATATCATACTGGCTGGTAACTTTAGAATTACGAATTTCGCGTAACTCTACTTCTCTTCCGAGTAAATCGTATAATGTCGCTCCATTAATCGTTATTTGACTAGCTAATTGTCTTGTAGTTTTTAAATCGTTCAATCTATCTGTGATGTTGAAATTCGGTGTCGTAGAGTCATCACCTGATAAAAGTTCGTTAACATTTTGTCGTTGAGCTTCATACAGTAGTGATGTCATTTTCAATAACTCTTTCACGGCATTTCCATCTGCCATATAAAGTTTTTGAGTATCCAATCTTATATTTACGCTTTTCATCTGAAATAAAGCGACGTTGAAGTCGTTAAATATAAATTTGTGTTCAAAGTACTATTGGAATTCATTTTAAGTTGTACACTGCATTTATTTTGAGATTTTTTGTGACATCAAACAAGTTAGAAAAAGTTACAATTAACTTTTTCTAAATATAACATGAAATTTATTTATCTTCGTTTACTCTTTATTTTCTTACTCATTATATTCCAACTATATATTAAAATTTTTGTTTTAAACATACCATAAATTCAGCCACAAAACAGATAAGGGTTACACGTTCTTTTTCAGTGCTGTGTTCTGCAGGAACATTGGTATCGTTATCAAATCTTTTCACTAACCATACTAAAATTTCTGCCACTAGAGGGAAATTTGGATATCGAAAGTTGGAAAGTGAAATTAATCTTGGATATCCCAACACTCTCATCATTTCAGTAAAATCTACCAACATGAATTATAATTAATAATTGATATATCCATAAAAAAAATCATGTAAGATCATATAAAACATACTTCGCAAATCCCTGTAAGACATGTTTATAAAAGTGCAAACTTTATTACTTATATGTTAACGTTATTAAATTTACAACATGCACTCTCATCATGTATCATAAGTCACTAATGTTTACAGTTTTCAGCTTACAGTGGTTGCCATGGCGATTAAAAGATAACTGTAACCTTAATGATAGAATAAGTATACAAGCAAATTAACAAGAAACAATTTTTGTTAAGCAATAATAATGTATTTACTGAAATATATTCATAAGTCTTAAACATTGTATCTTTAATTTGTATTTACAAACTTTATTAATATATAACATTCAAGCATGTAGTTAATCGAGTCCTAATCTATCTCGTTTCACTTGTGATCTTGCTCGTTTCACAAACAGTCGTTCTTGGGCAGCTTTTACTTGTCTCTTTCGGTGTTTTTCTTTCGTCAATTCATCTGGTTCGACAGGAACAATAATGAGATCTCTAATCATTTGTCTAAGTTTTTGTAGAGCATCTGCCACATTTAGTTGTCGAGATCTTGTGAGATCAGATTTTATTATCAAATAACCATCTTTATTAATTTGGTTTGAATGCTGAAATTATTAAATTCAATTAATTTTAATGTAGACGAAAAGAATTCTCATATAAATATATTTATAAAGCCAAATAAATACAAAAATTCTAATAATATAGATATGTAAATAGCAAAATACCTTTTCCAATAATTTTTCCTTAATTTCATCACTAATCCAGGTTGCCTTTTTTACACTAAATCGTAAATCTACTTTTGTACTGACTTTATTGACATTTTGACCACCAGGGCCACTACTGTTGCTGTACGTTATGTCTATTTCTTTTATTGGAATATAACCATTGAATTTTATTGATGGATCTTCCGGTACCTGAACAAGTTTAACATAAATATAATTTAATAAAACCTTCGTAAAATAAAATTCAATTTCAAATGCTTATTGTGTAATATCAAATGTGATGAAATTTCATAATTCGATCAAATAAAAAAATCATTTTCAGCCATAAATGGCGAAAAGGAATCTTAAAAATAAATACTTGTACTTACAAAATTTGGTGTATATAAATTTATATTGCTTTTTGGATATAAATTTTCCAAGGAATAAGCACTTTTGTACGTATAAGTTCTTCCGAGGGCACGTGAATGACTATTACTGTACAACTCTTTCTTCAAAATTCTCAAACATTGTCGTCCAACGAAATTCATTCCTAAAGATTTGTTTTGACTTTTTTATGAATAATTATTTTTCGTAAACAAACTGATTAAAAATTAGATATACTTTAGTTAGAGGTTGGGATTACAAATTTAGATAGAGTATAGCAGTGCTATAAGATGATCGAGTAGATTCTGATTCTCCAACATTCGCGTATTACACTAAATAATGAAAACTATCTTACCGACTATATATATATATATATAGGAACTACATATATCTGGGGTTGTGATCGGTTGATATGCGAAAAGAGCGCGAAAATTTTAATTTCATTATAAGTTTGAAACATTCTTGATTTAAACAATACTGCCTAGTATTTATTAAAGCTTTTTCGATAACTCGTTTGATTTGAAAAACGTTATATAATCTGGCATTATATAAATATCTTGTAACAAACTTATACCTAATTATATACACCAAATTTAAATAAGATATCTTGAAAATTATAAGAATAACATAGGTTCAAGCGTTTACATAACAAAATGCTCAACAAACAGAACAAACACTTTTATTCGCTTCTTATAAAAAAATTATTAGTTTTTATACGGTAACTCCCTCAACTAAGAAAATAAGATGATACATTTGTTTATTAATTATAAAAAATAAGTTTGAACCGGAACTTGAAAGTTATAAAGATACCATATAATGACATATATATACATTGAAATTACACTTAAACAATTAAACAATGAGAAAAAAGAACTGAGTAAAATGAAATTACAACGACATTTCCATCAATCCTTTAAAGTTATAATTTCATTTTACTCACTAATATAATAATTCTCCATCATTAGCTTATTATATTACCAATAAAAACAGAAGAAAACAATTTGGAAAGTTTTTCATTAATTCAGATGAAGTGATACATCATTAAAATAATTTTATTTATTTATTGTAGAATGTTGTATATGTAACAAATACAAACACATCGAACAACTAAATATAAAAACAAAGAATCGTGCCAATTAGAAAATTTGTCATGAATCGCTAAGTTAAGACTTCCTTCTCAAAGAAACAACTCGATAAAAAACAAAATTTTACACAACTCTAATAAATTATATCAATTGGAATTTTTTTATTATAATAGTAGATGTTAACGTATATGTATGCATTATATTCAGAAAAGTAGCATGAAATGAAAAACAAACAGCAGGAAAAAATGAATTCGTAGGTTTCTGAAAAGTTTAGTTTGAAAATCCTCTTAAAAGAAACAAAATATGTATACTAGGAAATATATTGCTCCGTCTCCCACGCACTTTAAGCAACGTAAAATCTGAATTATATATATGTATATATGTGTGTGTGAGTGTGTGTGTGTGAGTGCGCGTGTGTGTATAAAATAACAATATATAAAACAACAAATAATTTACATTGCATTAACTAAATGTGACCTAAATAGTAGCGGAATAATATATGACTATTTATAGGTACAATGTTGGTTTTAAGTGAACGCAGTTGTAGTATTCTTTTATAATTGTTTTATATGAGCATCGTAGGAACGCTAAAGGTTGCACAGCAATTGTTCACGTCTTTTCGCAACAACACCATTGCTCAAAAGCCACTCTCAAATCATGCTAATACGATTCTTAGCAAGGCCTTGTGCTTCATTATGAATACTTAAACTTACCACTGAAAAATTTGTTTTTTTATCTAAATATTTTCATATTTTTTATAGTATTAAAACAAGAAAAATATTATTCAACTTTAAAATCTGAAACTGAAAATATTATATTTAGTTGGATTATACGCAATATTTTGATATATATTTCTACTATATTTTGATTTTATAGTATAAATATCAATATGACTTTGATTATCAGTGAAAAATACAATTATTAATTGATATAACTATTATTTTCAATACTATAATGCTTTGGTATTTATTGTGATAAACTTTGTTATTGTTGCACGATTGTTAATAACTGATATAAAGTTATGTGTTCATATAATAATTGTTAAGTTGTCCGATAAAAGTCACTTCTTTGACATTAAAAATGTATTAGTAAATAGTGCAATATCCACATTAACAACTGAAGTGTACACGTAGAACTATATGGTATTATATTGTAAAATGTTATACTAATTCAGAAACAGTGATTGATAGTAATCAGTTCAGAAACACTCCCTGCAACAATCAAACGGAGTCATTAACAACGTTGTTGTTACGTTGATTGCAAAATCAAATCGTTGTGTCGCATAAGTTATGTGCCATCACCATATGTGCTTCGTGCAAAGCATATATGAAGATGACGTGATATATGGACATTATGCACTAAATAGTTATTTAGTGTTGGTTTATTGTAATAACAATGTTGTTATATTTGCCTTGATTAAAAACAAGTTTTTTTACAAGAACAAATATAATTTACACATTTGCTCAAAATTAAAAAAAACATAGTCTTGCTCGATTCGCGGTAATTGTTACTAGTAAAGTTATATCCTGAATGTGCAACATACCTTTTATTCTAAAGTGATTTACTTAATCGCTTCTTAAGTAAACAGTCATGGAGAGATTAAATAAGCATTATAGAATTCTTACGATTTGTACATAAGCATATAACCTGAAAATAAACAGAAATAATTTCACTTCGTGTATATTTAGCGTGATGTTTTTTTTTCGAAGCGCGTGACCGACTCAACTAGTTTTTTTCAAGTTAAACGAAAACAGACACGGAAAAAAAATGACCAAAGTTCCTTGTAAACGATGGACTATCCAAAGGCCGTATGTGTGACGCAGACGTTGAAAAACTCTTGACAAGCTTGCCTGGTAGTGGAAGACTCAATCGCAAAACAAGTTTATCCAATTTCGTGAAATCATTTATCCTTCCTACATCTACATGCATATTATTTGCCTGAAGGCAAATTTAACGTATCATCAAAATTATTGCTACATGAGAATGTTCATTTATTGGTTTATTTGTGTCTGGCGCCAGACTAACCCTTCATAATTCTATCAAAGATATATTCGATTTCTATCTGAATAGTATACATCTTTTCCTCTTAAAAAAATATCTTACTACGTTAATATTACGAATCAAATATTTCGAGATGCAATAGCTACCAAAAATATATACGTGTATCCAAAATGCTATATTCCATGATACGGTATAATGAGACTATTAATTAATAATAAGCGTCCGTTTGTACGACAAGCGTGTGATTATATCACACTTGATACGGTAAGTTCTGAGGTAGGCATTTTTATCAGGCGTGCGGGTTTTAAAGAAGTGGAGATATGATCAAGGTGAGGAAGAGGAGAAGAGGAGGGTGTTGGATTGAATTCGTTTGTTTCAATTTTCGATGGCATATACAATAATAAATTATAGTTTCTACGATGCATGCAACCGTGATGAAATTTGTGTATTGAGTATATTACGAGTTAAAATCTACCAGAAAAATAAAGATGCTTTGTTAAAGAACGCTTATTTATAATACATTTATCAGAATTGTGAAAGCATGAACTATAAAATATAATTTACATGTTATGATTAAGTTTGCTTATGATCAAGTGACGGTGCTTTCATCATGCTACGAATTGACATCAGGCGATGTTAATATTAATAATAGCACTGCATGACTTAAATCAGCATTTAAGTAACGCCTGTCCGTAAATGAATTTTTGCATCGTGCTTACAATTAAAGTGTTGAACCGTAAGTGCTGATTTTAAATCGGCAGTACTATAAAATATACAATACTTATGACTCAAGTATCACACCGTGCAATAATGACATACTTAAGTCACACGTATTGAAATATACTATTTCATTTAAAAAAAGTGATAAGTCACCGATATCCAGTACGATTGATTAATACATGAAAAGAGAATAAATATTTTTTATACTTTTATACCTTTTATTATACTTTCAAACAATTGCGTTAGTAACATACAAAAGCAAAAGATTTATATTTCAGAAAGTAAATTTAATCTAATTTAATTAATGCCAATCGAATATGGATAATAATCTACAAGACTTAAAAATTGAATTGTGTTGAAAGTACAATCGATACGTATATATATATGTAATTATATAAATCAATAATCTTATCTTTGTTTAGGAAATAGAATTATTTACTTACGACCCACACTTCGTTTGAGTATAAACCTCACGATACACGACTCTACTTTTCCGTGCGCGTGAACGTTTCATATTACTTTTTCTAAGATTATAGTTAACGGTACACATAAAAAAATAGGGTCCATAACATTCCTTTGGTGATTAATTGGATATTGATGTTCTTTGCACTAATCCTGGTATAGGTGTTTCACAGGATATCAAGTGTGGACATCAAGTTTACGTAGAGAGCCATAATTTTCTTAAACTCGCCTATCACCTGATTTTTTCTATTAGAATACGATCTGAAAAATGTGTTTTTCACGTTTTCAATCTTTAAGTTTATTTTTGTCATTTAAGATAAATTCACTAGAAAATAGATTCATTCAAAATTTTGGATTCCAAATGGTTTCTTAACAAATGAAAGATAAACAAACTTTAGTAGCTGTGCTTAGATTTTAGATTTTTAATGATTTTTATTACCTTTTTTGTTTAATAGGCTCTCATACTCATGATTTGTAACTTGGTATTCAGTTAAATCTTGCTCTGCAATTAATAATTTATGATACAAATGCGCAAAGTAGGAGTATCTCGCACAAGCTTAACGAAGAATAGTATCTCTACAATAGAATTAATTCTGAAAACATAAAAAGCTATAAGTAAGCAAACATTATAACATACATTTCGTCTTTTGCTAATAATTTTTTATATTTTCATCAGTAAGAGGTTGGACGTTATTTATTGTAAACCAAATAAGACGATAGATAATGAAAAAACGTATATATTTACAAAAGCTTGCATATCTTATTTCAATCTTTTACTAATGTCTCAGGTTTAATAATTTAATTTGATCTGCTTCAGTATTTGTTATTTATTGTAGTTTATTGCATTATATCACTGTTCGCCTGATTTTTATGCTTTTGTATTTTAGTGCTTATTGGATTAAGTGATTTATTGACCTCGCTTAGATTTCATGTACTGATTGATTATTTTTTTATATAGATATTTCTATATCAACCGATGGCTAATTGAGGCGCAGTTAAACGTCAACTACTGTAACCATAACTTTCACTTACCTATATATTATGGCCTAAAAGCTTG